CCTGGTTATGATGATAAGGCACTAAGGAATATCTACTATCTAAAAGAGAACGAATAAAATAAAAAACAATCTATGCTTTATCAAATAATGGGGTAGCACTAAAAACATAGTAAGCCAATACTCAAACTCACCTTTCTACCTGTCAAGCTGGATGCTCTCCTCAGACTTCCCTTGCCAGGACTGAAACCAAAGTCTACTCCCCTCCCACCCATAAATCACAGCCCCATACCATACTCTGCAGTGGTTCCCAGTACCCATGATCTGGGCACTTCCCATCTCATTTCAGCTCCTCATTGTTTCTCACTCCAAATGACCACACCATAATCATCCCCTACCTGGTTTCTTGTCTACTGCTTTCTCCCCTAACCCTATGGAATCCAACACCCACAGATTTACCAAGTACTGAGCTCTCCAGGGTTATTAAAGCATCTAAGATTGCCTAAAGCGATCTAAGATTTGGTCTCAGGCAGATCCTGCTCCAATACTCCAAGCACCCAGATTGCCTGAGAATCACCAAACACTCCCCACATCTCAGTCATCTGCATCATCCGCCCATGCTGACACCATTCCCTCACTCCTCCGAAGCATCTCTTTACCACACCTCAGTCGGAAGGACTATACTTCCTGGACTCCTACCAGTTCTAACAGTATCACTGCAGGTACTGCAGATTCCTTATCACCCCCTCCACACCGTAACCTTTAAACGTAACAAAAATATTCTCTAGCACCGGAGCTAAGGGGGCAGCCTGCAGTCAATAAACATTTGTTAGAATTTTCCTTAAGTACGTGATCAAGGGCGCCTGGGTGGCTCAGTTGGTTAAGCGACTGCCTTCGGCTCGCGTCATGATCCTGGAGTCCCGGGATCGAGTCCCACATCGGGCTCCCTGCTCAGCAGGGAGTCTGCTTCTCCCTCTGACCCTCTCCCCTCTCGTGCTCTCTATCTCTCATTCTCTCTCTCTCAAATAAATAAATAAAATCTTTAAAAAAAAAAAAAGTACGTGACCAAAAAACAAAGACTCACATGGCAAGGGACAGGGAGAATTTCTCCAGAGAACCTTCTCCTAGAAGGTAACAACAGAGTTCGTAAAATGTATTCTGAGCTTTGAAAATGTGTTACTCACAACCTCTTCGGAAAAGGACCACAGCTACTCAAGGGGGGAGAAAATGAACTTCAGTGACTAAAAAGAAAGAAGATAACCTTTAAAAGTTCTTTCTTAGGGCTTTCCCTTATTATTTCATATCCATCACTCAAATAGCACACAACTGAAAGGTCAAATGAACGGCATGTTGGCCCAATACCACCGTACGGCCAATACAAAGAACCAAAAGGGGAATGAATACACCCAGCCACTCTTACAACCAAGTTCGCATTCCAGGAATATGTAAAACACTTTTGCCTTCAAAATATTTCCAACTTTTTACTCTGTTTCATTAAAAAGGGAAAACCGAGATAGCATTTAAGTAATGCAGAAACACCAACATCTTGGAAGCTCTGTGTCTGTCTATGTCTCATTTAAAAAGGACTCTTACCTAATCACATCTGTCACTCCCAGATTTGAAGCTACCAATCTCAGTGAGAGTCAGGGAAAAAAGTCTTTGGACTAATCCAGGTGGGAAAGGTGATTATGTGCCTTAAAAATTTTTTCAAAATGTGAACCTAAAGCACAGTGGCTTGAGAGAAGGCAGAGAGCCACACACACATTGCTAGAGAAATGTCTTGATCACCAGCATTTCTTAACCAAGGAACAGCCCCCTACCCAAAGATCATAACAAAAGCTTCAGGATGCAAACTATTTTGAGTTGAGAGCATCCTGAGTTGCAAACTCCATGAGTGGAGTGGGCACAGTAGCATACCGTTCCCACTGCTCAGTGGTACTGGAATTCAAACTAAGGGGGTGGCGGGGCAACAGGGCAGGGGGTAGCTGGTTAGACCTGCTGGCCTCCTTTGTAACCACTGTTTCTGCCCAACACTTTCATTTTAAGAAGCATAATGAAGTACTAGGTCACTGGAGTCTGTGCAGCTCTGGCCAAGATCTTAGTTTCCCCATCTGTACAGAGTAGGCTTTCCTAACATATCATGAATTTCCTTAAAGAAAATAAGTTCACAGACCCGTGTCTGGCTGTGGCAGTGGCTACCTACTCCAATATTCATTTTCCCATTCCCTATTAGCTCCAAAGGGCTACTATGCTATGTTTAAAAAACAAATTTTAAGAATGTTAAGCATTAAGAACGACACTTCTACCGAAATACTATTTGGTATTTGTGTTCAATAAAATCAAAACCATGATTTGTGTGTATGCGGAAGTTAACTACAATAAGCTTTTGTCAATTCATGGGGCAATTCTGCTTTTTCAGTTTTTATTTAAAACAAAATATCCATTAAAGTAACTAGTATGTCATTTCTTAAAAAGTCTTGCCATGACCAAGGTCAGGGAAAAATAAATTCACCTCACTTCTTCCCACTTGGGTTTCTAAAATACTAGGTTAGTGATGACATGTAATTTCCCAGAACACTAACAAAATACACTCGGAAAAAAATTTGTTCTTAATGAAACAGATAAAGAAGTGACTTCTGGAAATTTCAAATGGAACTCGTGTTAAAAACAAAACAGGGATGGTAGCCCCAAAAAAGTGTATTTCCACTCTGAATAAAATTCCACAAAATATCAGATTGCCTCAAGGTCATTCTCAAAGGAAGAACATGGTTCAGTTTCACTTTTAAGAGACTGGTTTTGGGGCGCCTGGGCGGCTCAGTTGGTTAAGCATCTGCCTTGGGCTGGGATGGAACCCCGCTTTGGGCTCCCTGCTCAGCGGAGAGTCTGCTTCTCCCTGTCCATCTGCCGCTCCCCCCTGCTTGTGCTCTCCTGCTCTCTCTCTCTCTCTGCCAAATAAACAAAAGCTTACCAAAAAAAAAAAAAAAAAAAAAAAGACTGGTTTCTCACCATTCCAAAAAAGAAATGGAACACTGAGCACTAGGGTCCTTCAGCTCTTTTCTACCTGGCAATCCAGACACAAAAACTGTGGCCACAGTAGATTTTTAAGGATAGTTGAATATACTTCTTAATTCTGTCTGGCTATACCCCCAAAGAGAACAAGGAAGTAAACATATAGCTATGCCTACCATAAAAAAGAAAAAAGAAACTATACTACAAAACACCTCTCATTCCAGTTTTTCTGCATACCATGTTAGAACCATTCACCACTCCACAGGCAGCCAGCTCCATCTCATCAAATTCTCTCCATCCCACCCTCTCTGTCCCCCACTGCATGTAAACCCCGAGTACCACTGCTTACTTACTTGACAATCTGCAAGGGTGTCTTTTCTGAAGTGTGTTTTTCCTTGAGTCCTATCCAACAACAATGCACACAAATCTTCAAGGACGGATCCTTTCCTAGCACTGTTAATAATGAGAGTTAACACTGGTTCTTAACCAAAAAACAAATACAAAGTTTAAGATTTGGGATTTTTCGTCTAATTTGCAAGGGAATATATGTAAAAAGTCTTCTTCTGCAACATGATGATAATAATAGCAGTAATAATTATTATTCATATTCACTATTATTATTACTACATGAATTTAGGAGAACACCAGAACCCGAGAAACAAACGGCCACCATCAACATAAGCATCCTTACATTGTTTTTTTTTTCCCCAAAAGTTCCCTTAAACTCTCCTTAAATTCCCTTTAGCTTGACATCTCATTTAGTTTTTTGAGAGATTTTTCTTTTTAAAAACCAAAGAGATTCATTTTGGGTTCTGGAGAGGCTTATTTTATTTATTATTATTATCTGGAAAACTGACTAAGAATTATTAGGAGAAAAGAAGACAAAACCAAAGCACCTACCAAACCAATGAAGCAACACTAGAAATCAGACCCTAACTGACCAAGAAATGGTTTTGTACTTACAAATCAACTTTGGACCAGCAGACTTAGTACTCCAGAAAATATGGTTGAGACATGAGCTCATATCCTCTTTTATAAAAGCTACACTTATACAAGAAAGATAACCTAACAAAGCCAATCCATAACATGGATGAGATACAGTGACTTTTTATTAGGTCTCTCACCATGCTGAGCTCCATTCAGACACTCAGTAAACACGTGCTCACCACAGACAGAATGATCATTTACCCAAACAATTTAAATACACAGGACGGTCCCTTTACATACAATCTATTAATTACTAAATACCAGGCTCAATTCATTAAGCAGTTTGGGCCAAACTGACAAATGCTCATGGCAGGCCTACTCTTAACCTAGAGAAACAGATCCGATATCTTTAAAAGAAAAAATTACAACTATACAACAGCACACACAATATAACAACATTTTAAGTGGGTGTGCATACACATAGAAAAATTTTAAAATCTGTGCCGAAATTTGTGCCAATTTATGTACCAAAACTGTTAACAGTAATTATCTCTGTGCATATAATTTTCTTCTTCTGTTTATACTTCCAGATTTTTCCATAATGAAAAAAGAATAAAGATAAATAAAACATGATCTTTACCAGACTATGTTAAATCACATCTTTTCTTTATTAATAGAGGTCTCAGCAGAACCCAAACTGCCAACAATTGTTTTAATTATAACTTCAAAAAGCTGGTAGGTGTCAGTATGTATACTTAAGAAATTTTGCTTAAAGACCTAATATATTTAACTCATAACCCCTTTCAAGGCACAAAAAGTGATGTTCTTTAAAATCATTATGATGGAAAACATATCTTGGATGCTTTTAAAAAAAAAATGCTAGGCACTATAATGGACCAAAAAAATCTTTCCTCTAAAAGAATACACAAACACACAAAAGAAAGCACACACAAAATTGAACCTCTTGGCGAGACTTTCAAACAGTTAAACTATTTACAAACCACAGTTTCATCTACGTCAATATGCAACACTTTAAAACCACACAAAAAGGAAAGGAAATTTTTAGTACAGCCAACCTTCATGCAATGGAGCTGCTAGTGCTCTTGCGGAGGCCAGACAGCTAACTCATGGTTCTCTGAAGACCTGCAGCGAGCCCGCGGTGGCTCAGAGAATATACCCCCAGGTAGGTCTTTTTAAGTACTTGATATATTCAAATATCTTTCCATCTAAGGGGAAGCTGTGATATTCGGTGTTTAAAACATGTAAGTTGGGAATGCCAATGTGTAATAAGGCTGCTTGTAAGAGGGTACCAATTATTAAATTCTAAATTCTAAATAGATTCTCACTATGAACTGTACTATAATTTTCTTCTATCTGATGACCCCCTCCACTCCTCTCAAAAAAAAAAAAAAGTTTAATTTATACAAAACTGAATACTTACTTATTGGGGAGCATAACTATTCAGTAACTCAATTTTATATTTTATAAGATTGGATAAACACCACGTTGTAGGTCTTTACAACAGGGCACAACAGATTTGAAATGACTTCCCTCCACAAAAATGATACATAATTTCAAGAACATTCTATTGTGACTTTCATTTAAAAAAAAAAATTTAATAAGTGTATTTATTTTCTAAGCAATGGGCACCCTATCCCAAACAAAGGAGACACTTGAAATCTTTTCTTGATTTTTGCTGCAGCACCTCAAATTTTCACAGGCTAAATAACTGGTTGACAAAACATTTATCAAGCACTTGGTTTTCAAATTTGTGATAGAGAACACAAAATGCTATTATAGTATAGTTTAACCTCTAATCAACATACCAAAAATTTTAAATGAAGAGATTAGTTTTTCATTGCAATCTAGACTGAGGTTCATGAAAAGCAAGTGCAAGGCACTACAGGAATCTCAAGCATCATCAAATAGTTATGCTGTAATTATTTTTAAATAAATTACCCATAAGTGGTATATATGGCCAGTTCTAGTTATAGAGATTATTATTAACTGATGAAAACAATTTTCTAATCCTCCTCTTTACCATATATTCATCTATAAAATGAGACTTTATTGTATAATTGTATGAGCAATAGGAACACTTAAAAAAAAAAACACAGTATTATGTTAACTATTATCATGTAACATTAGAAATACAAGAGCTAAGCCAAAATCCTAGCACCTGGTAAAGGAACAATGAGCTAAGGTGGGAGAGGGAGATGATGATCAATTTATAGCAACACTAGCTTTTGACCCAGAGAAGAAAAGGATGGTCAGAATGCCAAGGTTCAAATAAATGGTTACTATCCAAAAAAACAGAGTCCTAAGAAGTCAGTGAAGCCTGGAGTAGAATTCAGACACAAAGAGCTTATTCCAGGCATTTTAAGATAGGAAGGATTTGGATATAGGAAGGATAAGGGCAGAAAGCCTAAAAATGATCAATGGGGTCAGATTCTAGCCTGTTCTTACAAGCTGGAAAACCTTGAGCAACATCCAAGTGCCAGACCCCAGTCTCCTCAACTGATCTGAGACTTGGACTAGATGCTATCAATAAAAGTTCCCTCCACCCTTAAAGTCCTATGATTCCCCAAATTTTATCACAACCAAGAGTTCAAAGGCAGGAAGGAGCAGTTCACAGCACAGTAGAGATACCACCAATCTAGGGAATTAAGATAAAGACAGTAGGGATGGTTTGAAGCAACTAGGTCATGGGAACTTTGAAAGTAAGGGAGGTTTAGATTTAAAAGACAGAACCTAGGTCTGGGTTTTAAATATATATACAGTAAAAGGAAACATCAAAATACTTGAAGTCTGAACCTCTCTCATTAGTATTTAAAGGAAAAGTTAGGAACTAATATTTTCTTTCTGCTCTTTTACATGAAAATTGCCTAGAATATAGTTCCTGCCACATAGTAAGCACTTAGTAAGGCTGGCTGCTATAAAAATTATGATCACCATCACCATGATTATTACTATTACTGAGAAAGAGCTCTAGAGTGGTTTTGAACACAGCTTCTGAGATCAGACCGCCTGAGTTGGAATCTTGGCTCTATAATTTAACAACTATTTAACCTTGGGTGTTACTTAACCTCGTTTTGCCACAGTTTTCTCATTTGTAAAGTAGGGATAATAACACCTACGTGCTAAGAATGATGAGAGGTTAAATAAGTACCTGTAAAGTACTTAGCACAGTGCCAGACACAAAGTAAGTACTCAATTATTTTCATTAAGTTTAGTGCAGAATGAATTATGCATGAACCCTAAGTCCTATCTCAAGTTGGGAAAGAGGAAGGACATGTACCCTTTTAAATGACACTTTAATTTATAAAGTTTTATGTAGATCTGCCTTATTAATCTGCTTACAGTGTTTCATCCCAAAGTGTATACAGTAGATCATTAAATAATCAGGAGAATTAATAATTGATCAGAAAGGCTTCAAAAGGTTTTGTTGTTGTTTCAATTTTAAAAGGAGGTTTCAGAGAATGGGCTTATTTGGCCTTCTTAGCCACTATAATAAAGATTTGCTATTTTTTTTTAAAGATTTTATTTATTTTTGAGAGAGAGGGTGTGCATGTGAACACAAGTAGGGGGAGGGGCAGAGGGAGAAGCAGACTCCCCGCTGAGGAGGGAGCCTGACGCTGGGCTCTAACCCAGGACCCTAAGATCATGACCTGAGCCAAAGGCAGCCGATCAACGGAATGAGCCACCCAGTCACCCAGATTCACAGTTTTTAAGTTGTGTATCAGGTTTTTTTCTGCTAAAACACAAAATCTTCTGGTCTTTAAAACTAAAGGAAGGTGTTTAATATGCATGAGGAGGGTGCACACCAAGAAGCAGCACCAAAAAGATGTACCTGTGGCCCTAAGAGCATTAGTTTGGACCAGGTCAAAGAGAATAAATGAAGCCCAATTGGTTTAACTTACACTTATGTTCCAGATTTGGAGGGAACATTGACAAGATTTTGTCATTATCAGTATCAGTCACAATGGTTCTAAGGATATGTCTTATACTTTTGGGCTTAACTGCCTCAAACCTACAGTGAAAGAAAATAAGTATTATAGTTAGATGTTTTCATACTAAGATAACTGAGCTTCTCTTTGAGAATTCTGTAACCAATGATCATATATTCTTGTTCTAGAAGCCTTTAAAATACATTTGTGATCAAATTTCTCAAAAACACTGACAGAGAAACATCTATACAAGCACGGTTTACCAGAAATAGAAAACAAACCACAGAGGTACTTTAAAATTATCCAGTAGCTGCATTTGAAAAAGCAGAAACAGAAGAAATTAATTTTAATCATATATTTAACCTAATATCAGAAATATCATTTAAACATACGCTCAATACAAAAAATATGGAGATATTTTACTAATTGTACTATTGTACAAAATAGTGCACTTTTACTAGTTGTATTATTTTTATAGTCTTTCCTAAAAAAATCTTTAAAACCTGGTGCATATTTTGCATTTACAGCCCATGTCAATTTGGCTGTCAAAGTGGCTGTCATTTCAAGTGCTCAGTAGTCACATGTGGCCACATACTGGACATCACAGGCCTACGTCACTAGGGAATGGAGTGAGGAAAAGGAAGGAATAAGCATCAATTCAAGCCAGATTCTAACCCTTCAATTCTTTCTGCTGAACAGAAAAATGAAATGCAATGGTGATTGTGAACACGCTCTGGTACTTGACACAATGAAACGCCTACCTCTAAATTTCAGGACAATTTTCTGTCCCCCGTTACCTCCCCGCTCAGCCTAGGTCCTCCAGCATGAGGAGCTCTTGTCAATCTATGAAAACAGCAAGCCAGGAAGCCTCACTGAAACCTCCCAGGCTCAGCCACAACCAAACCATTTTACCCTCATTTCCTCTCTGTCTGTTTCTCAGAATTTCAGTTCACTTACCTCCTCTGCAAACTACCTTCCACCCCAAGTGGTAACAAAAGAGCTATCAGAATGCAAAAGTGTGATGTCAAAAATATCCATTCTAGAAGCAAACCCATAAGGGATTTCCCAAAATCATGAAATCAGACCATGGAAAACCCAGGCCTCCTCACAATCTATGATGTTTCACCAATAAAATTCTATCTAAAAATCAGAAAAATTGTGACCCAGGTGTTATGAGTACAGATGTTTTTAAAGAAAATCATTTCTAATTTTAATTACTAACCTCCCTCTCCCACCCATTTTTTTAAACAGATTCTTTGGATTTTTTTTTTTTTTTAACAGAGTCATCCTTACTTCCCCTCAAGATGACAAACAGTTCTATCTTCTGCCCAGTTTACAGAGATCTGGAGCCATTCACATATTTTTTTTATTTAGTGTTTCTTGTTGGAATTATTGGAAGTGGTTTTGCAACCTGGGCTTTTATACAGAATAACACAAATCACAGGTGTGTAAGCATATACTTAATTAATTTGCTTACGGCTGATTTCCTGCTGACTCTGGCATTACCAGTAAAAATCGTTGTCGACTTGGGTGTGGCACCCTGGAAGCTGAAGATTTTCCACTGCCAAGTGACAGCCTGCCTCATCTACATTAATATGTACTTATCAATTATCTTCTTAGCATTTGTCAGCATTGATCACTGTCTTCAGTTGACATACAGCTCCAAGATTTATCGGATCCAAGAACCTGGATTTGCCAAAATGATATCGACCGTGGTGTGGCTAATGGTTCTTCTTATAACAGTGCCCAACATGATGATTCCCATCAGAGACATCGAGGAGAAGCCAAGTGTGGGATGCATGGAATTCAAAAGGGATTTTGGCAGAAACTGGCATTTGCTGACAAATTTCATATGTGTGGCAATATTTTTAAATTTCTCAGCCATCATTTTAATATCTAACTGCCTTGTAATTCGACAACTCTACAGAAACAAAGATAATGAAAATTATCCATATGTGAAAAAAGCCCTCATCAACATCCTTTTAGTGACTACAGGCTACATCGTATGTTTTGTTCCGTATCACATTGTCCGAATCCCATACACCCTGAGCCAGACAGAGGTAATATCTGATTGCCCAACCAGGATTTCACTATTCAAAGCCAAAGAGGCCACACTGCTCCTTGCTGTGTCAAACCTGTGTTTTGATCCTATCTTGTACTATCACCTCTCAAAAGCATTCCGCTTAACAGTTACCAAGACTTTTGTTTCACATAAGGAGACCAAGGCTCCAAAAGAAAAATCAAATGGTGAAAACAGTGCATAAAATACGGGATTTCTCATGCTATCACTTCCTGCCTCTATGGGAAAGAGAGCAAAGAGCCTAAGTAAAAAGGACAGCTAGCATATGTGGCCTGGTTTACTGAGAAACTGTTCCTAATGTAAGCCAAGCAGTACTCTTGTGGTTGTTAATGATCCTTAACCCAAATATTTGTACAAAAAAACTAAAAGATGCTGTTGAACCAATGTAAAACCTTGCATTATCCTTGAAATCTCAAGGAGTTTTATGACAGACTCAGAGGCATTCGTGAGGTATTCATTTAAATACCGGGAACTGACTTCTTGATAGAAATATGCAACACAATTTAAATAAAACCATTTAGATCATACCAAAAAAGTCCAGCCGATTTTTACATGAAACCACCTGTGCCTGATTTATTTTTAATCCATCATTTTAAAGATGGTAACCTTTTAGCTCACTACTCTGATTTTTAATATCTAATTGTTTTGTAACACAGTAAATAAAACTGTTTACTTCTAAAAAGGCTTGGAAATACATGGGTAGTTTTTAATGTATTTATATACTTACATTCTATCAGTAGGTTATAAATAAAGACTTTCTACCCTAAGTAATGACAAATTCAGTGATTCCTTATTTTGTAGTAACATGAAATAGACGCTACAACATTTTCAAGCAAGTTGTTAAACTACACTGACTGCTTGAAAGTACTGTTTTGGAACTAAAAACTCACATCAAAGATATGGAAAAACAGCACTAGTCAAATGGCCTTAAAATAGACATGCCAGATACACACACAGCAAGACCTTGTAGGGAACACAGCACATGCTGGGCTGATTGGCACCATGTCTGAGTCTGACCCCACATAGGGCCTGCAATTTAAAGAATGGGGGACTCCAGTTCTCAGGGTCACAACCCTTAGATCAAATTCTCTCTACTGCCAGTAATGCAGAAAGGGCTCAAGAGATGGTATAAAATAAAAGACTTATTTGGGAAAAAGAAAATAGAAAAGTTTAGGTAATGATACCTGAGACTTGGGGGGGCGGGCTTCATTTCAAGAGCAAAAGCCTGTATTGCAACAATTGGTAATACATTTGCATTAGCTGCAGTGATTAAGAAATGGTGTTCCTGGCAGCTCTCTTGAGCTCACCCACTCTGGTATCTCAAGAGTGTACTTTTCACTTTAATAAACTTTCCCATCTGTGGAAAGAAAGAAAGAGACAGAGAGAGAGAGAGGAAGGGAGGGAGGGAGGGAAGGTATTCCTGGAAACTAACAAAATGAGTTTGATTCCAGAGTCATTTTTAGTTCTGTATTGAGAAGAATTATCTTCTGAAGCTTGAACCCAAGAAAATTCTGGTGTACAATTTCAATATCTTCTGAGTTTGAAGAGAGTAATATATGAGAAAATGCACCCAAAAAAAGTGCCTATCACACTTCTACCATGGTGAGTCCCGGACAAATTCTAGCTAGCTAGTGGTCGTGACAGGAACCCCCCTCAGCATCACGTATCTGACCCAGGGTGTAAAGGGCTGCTGAAATGCCAGCCCGCGAGAACCTGTGCTTGCTGATGGTCTAACGCATTTTTACTGACCGGCAGATCAAGACATGATTCATATGAGCATATGTGAAACTACTAGTTGCTTTTCCTGAATCTTTTGGTCAAGTCCCCATTAGTCTTCTCTCCTTGGTCTTCACTCACTAAGTGTGAGTGAAGATAGAAAGGGGGGTGGGAGGGAGCAATTTTTTTTTCAATCATATTCTTATATGCTTCTCACATTCATGCATGATACGTTAGTCAAATTTTCCCTCTTTATTAAGGAAGAGAACCAGACTCTCTACAGCATTCCTAATGTCAATGTTACATTAGTATATACGTTCATTTCCCCTTGATGATGTTTTATTCTAAATGACACTCAGAATAAAGGGAGGCCTAGGACAACTGGTGATAGAAGGCTATTAAAAAATTATATCCTACAACATATATTTTCCAGCAGTTGTGTTATGATTGCATTACAGTTATGTCATAATCCATCATGAGAGACTTAATCACCAGAAATCATTCATGCTCCTTCCTCTAAGGAGGTGGACAATCTTTAGAATGCTACATGCTGGGAATGACTGTGTAGACAAGGATCACATGAACAACAGAATAGAGACATCTGTGCTTGGGTGCACACCAAGACACATGGGAGAGGGAGGCGAGCAAAGCTCTGCCTACCCAAGAGAGGAACACAGAATCCTCAACCAATTTCAACCATATTCAACATTTTGCCCTATTTGCTTTATTACCCCTCTCCTTTTTATTTAAATTTTTACTTTGGAATACTTTTAAGATTTACAGAAAAGGTACATAGATAGTACAGCAAGTCCCCATTTACCTTTCATCCCATTAGCCCTAATGTTAATGGCTTACATCACCATGATACATTTGCCAAAAGTAGGAAATTAACATTGGTCCATTAAGTGTTAACTCCAGACTTCAATATCCTGCCCCCCCCTTTTGATGCCAACTATTTTAAGACCAATCCCAGACATTATAATATTCATCCATAAATTCTTCAGGACACATCTCTAAAATATCAGGCTATCCTTTCTATTGCCCTAAATGCACAGTGAGATTATTCCATTATGTTGGAAACGAGTCATATGTACAGGTAAAGCAAAAAAAAAAAAAAATTTATTCAGCCAGTGATGAGCAAGAAAATATTGGGACAACTTTTGACACAGTCCTGGGCAGAAAAACTGACATTAAAAAGAAGATTAATTGTAATAAAAAATACATGTAAAAAAAATTTTTTTTGAAAGTTCCAAAATAACAAAAATTAAAAATTAAGAAAATATTTAGTTTGCAGAGAACTCCTCAAAGATATCCAGAACATTATATATACGTCACAATTACACTGCTGTTAAAATAATAATAATAGCATGCAACAAAAAAAAAAAGGCTCATTAAAATTTCTCTTAAAATCCCAGGAAAAAAGATAAACCTAAAAATATAAACACATTTACAGATTTTGCCCAATTTTCATTAATATCAAAAAACCAATCTTGTTTCCCTTTAGTAAAAAGCACATCACTTGTTATGAGTCAAACACTAAATTTGCTGGTATTTCTCATATGCTATTCAATTCTTAAATTCATTAGATTGAAATCCAAGTCCATGTCATATACAACCTCCTCTATGAAGCCTTACCCAACTTTGCAATCAGATGCTCTCTCTCCCCTCCAATATTTATTCTTTGAGAGTGGAAGAGACCCAGGAATGTCAAACAGTTCACCTTCCAGTAGGCACTTGGGTTTTTACTAAATTATTGCATTTATTTTAGTGTGTATCATTTCACATTTGTCTCCCTCCTATCTTATTCTTCTTTCCTGTGCCCTAAAATTCTCATTCATCTGTATAATACCAAGTACCTACCACAATACAGTGCACATAAAAGCTACTCAGTAAATGAGTTTCAAATGGAAGTAGGAAAACACATTTAGACATCATTTGCAGTCACTCATATGCTCTTGATAAAAGGATAATAACCTAGAAAATTCCATTAATTCTAGCTAGCCAGTAGTATCCCATCACAAATTTGAACTACAACTGTACATATGCTATACAATCATAATTATAACAAAAGAAGCAGTAAATGAAAAACTCACCTGCTTTCATATGTATTACTCAGGCAAGTAGAACAGTCGATGGTTAATGATCTTATAATGAAACAATCAAGGTTGCCAACTGATCAAAGCTGTGACTTACCAGAGGTATGGGAAAATGGGTTGCATACTGCAGGTGTCGCAGAAGGTCATAATTAGATGGAAAAATTAGCTCCCTGGGTTTTTCTCTCTTAAGCAACTTCTCACCATTAACCGACATTCTTCTGCCCAAGGAAGGGTTGGCATTCTCACAGGATTCTCCAGGCATGGGAGAAAAAATCTAAGTCATGTAAAATAAATGTTGGAGATTGTAAATGAAAGAGAGCAACACCAAAACACAGCGCTACATACCAGAACTCCAAACACACAAGACACTCCTACACTATCTCTTCCTTCTTTAAACACTGAGAAAATACATAAAGAAAATAAACTGTGTTAATTTCCACAAAATTCATATTAAGATTAGTAGGAAACTATCAACATCATCTCCCATTTTGAAGATGCGAAAATGACAACCACACACGTAAGAATCGTGCAAAGCTACACTTCCCAGAGAACCAGAGACAACATCAGACTCATAGGTTAAGTGTTTCCTCATAGGGTTACATTTCCTACAAAAACATATACACAGAAATAATTAACAAAACTAATGAGTAACAGACATAAAAGTTTTAGTCAGTACCCCAAACAGTATTTTTTATAAAGCACCTCACTGAGATCCATAAGGAAGAAAATACTGTAATTATATGGAGATAAAGGAGAAAAAGCATAACAAGTCCAGAGCCAGGAAAGTTATTATTTAGAAACTGAACACATACATAGCACATCAACATGGACTGTCATGATGAAACTATTCATCTATTCCTGAGAGATGATGGTCTCAAGATGAACAAAACAGTCACAGTCAACTAGGAGGACAGGAGTGTTCTACTCTACAAAGGAGACAATGCAACTAAAATTAAGGATGAACTGAAATGAGACAATTGTACAAGATGAGTAACTGTACCCTAAAAAGGAATATGATAGGATCACATTTACATCACAGGGACACAAGTCCTTCCAGTATGCGGGGCAAGGAACAGAAGGATGGAGACAAGCTGGGAGAGGGGTGGGGAAGAGGGGTTAATAGTCAATAAGAATTTGAAGGTTGAACCTACTGGAAATTCCGAACCAAAGTCAGTTTTAAAGTCATTCTTGTCTACTTCATCAAAAATATTAGTAGTTCCTGAGTCAATGCCCATATGCGCCATTATAGTCTGTTCCTGATAATTACCAGAGAAAGAAAGTGACACTGTAAATTTTGTAGTTCATGAAAAAACTGAAGCTAAAATATGACAGTGATGTTTTTAACCACCCTAGGTCTTTTCTCTCCCTAGTATCTATTTTTCCCCCAAAAAAGAGAAGTTTTAAGACATGCACTTGCTTTGCCAAGTCACATTCTTTATCCTCATGAGATTTTACCTTTCATGATACTTGAAGGAAAGAGCCCACAAACTTAAAAACATTAAACAAACCGGCCATAATGTCCCTCCTTTCTTTAGGCTATTCCCAGTCATGCGCTCACCAACTTTTCTTAGAAAAATCTGAGAGTACACCCAATAAGATACCTCGATATCCAAGAATAGAAAGGAAGAAACAGAAACATAAAAGAAGCATAAACAAGTAAAATAACTTTAGTTTTTTAGCCTTTTATAACTTCTGTGGACAAATTTGGAAACAGTATTTACATCAAGGAAATAATTTTTTAAATTCCCGCACCATTTGATCACCAAATCTTAAGAACACAAACTATGAATCCACACATGTAACTCTAATGCCAGGTCTTTCAATTACAAGGATAACCAGTGTTTTAAAAAATATCATCACAGCATATGCTTAAGCTCTCACAGAACCATCATGAGGCTTGATTTTAAGGAACCTCCACAAGCTCTCACCATTTTCCACTGTTTCCTTTTACCACCTCCATGCTTTCTGCCTTGAAAACTTCTTTAAGTATCAAGAACAATGTCCAAAACACCAGAAATTGGCAGAAAATTATAAAGTCATACTCACAGTATAAAATAATTTGTTGAAAAGAACAATTCCACATTTAAGAGTTTTCAATTAATTGAAATGAAAATATGATGTGCTATGATCAAAACAGGATTTCCCATTTTGTAGGAAAGATAGAAGCAATGGATAATAGAGGAAAAGATGTTCCTTAGAATGGGACTTTAGGCCACAATCAGTCTGATTTTAAGGCACAACATTAAAGAAAAACCGGAAATTAGAAATACATAAAATTGGAAGCATATAATTCTTGTCCAGTAAAAAATGTTATGGACTGTCAAATCTTTCCATTAATAGTTTGAGTATTCAAAAGAAAATTCTGGAATGGATATATTCCATTTTTTTCCCCCCATTAGTGAGGAGTAGAGATAAATGAGTTCTCTAACAGGAGAATACAATTAAAATGCAATCACCCTTCCACCACCAAACAATCCTCTCAAAGGGGTTTCCCAGCTGAGTGTTGTTTTCAGGGCTGGGGCACCACTCCCAGGGCCATACCTCCATTTTCATGTCATGATCCTTTGGGTAGTGTTCATCCACATTTTCTCCCGCTGGCGACCGTGGTCGGGTTGAGGCAGTGACTGACAAGTCTCCTCGCGATATGAGGGTGCACATGTATGCGTCATGAGAAAATACATCATGCCGGATGAACTCACAGAAGAGCAGCACCAGATTCACAAATTCCACCTTTTCACATTCACTGTTTGGATCCGCTACATAGAAACAAAACAATCAGTCCCCTTGATACAGTGGGGGGGGGGGAGGGGGGACAAATAGGAAGGCTTAAACAAGGGGCGCCTGGGTGGCTCAGTTGGTTAAGCGTCTGCCTTCAGCTCAGGTCATGATCTCAGGGTCCTGGGATCAAGCCCCATGTCGGGCTCCCTGCTCGGCGGGAGAGGGAGGGTCTACTTCTCCCCTGCTCTTCCCTCTTCCCCCCCTCCCCATTCATGCTTGCTCTAATAAATTTTTTTTAAAAAGCAAATGTAAAAAAAAAAAAGGAGGGGAAGTCTTAACAATATTTTCATTTTTTTTTTTTTACACAGAAGAGTTATTAGAAAATGTACTGTGAGGTGCATTTTGTGCAGAACAAGCACACGACTGTCCCTCTGTACTTGAAAAATAGTATCCAGTGTGCTAAGCACAATTTCAAGTTTAAAGATAGTGGTCCCTGACAAATGAGCAACCACTTAAGTAATAATATAAATACACAAAATTTCAGGTAAGGGGAAAAAAAAAAAAAAGGCAGAGCCAAACTGCTTTCTCTGATTTATACTATTAAAACAGCTCATGACTGTTTTCATAGCTTGAGAGTGTCTGTATATTTGTGAGGTATGCGTGTGTACCTTTCAAAGGACACTTTATAATAAAACAGTTCAAAAGGTACTTGAAAATACCACTGCATGGGATCCACTAGAAAGAAAGAGGGAAGGTGCAAGACAAAAAGGCACAAAGATGGAGCTCTGCAGTCTTTCTCAGTTCATAGCCAGTCTATTTAACTCACGTTACAACTTTTAACACTGCAGCTGCACTCTGAAACTTTGTACCCTTGAGAGAGATTAAAAAATGTTAAGAGCAACCCTTCAAAGCTCAGGACCTGCTACCATCATGCTTGCAAATACCAACAGAGACATAACAGATAGATCGAGGGAACATGAAGCGCCTTCCCTTAAGCCTTAGCATTTGCTGTCGTCCACCGCAGAAGTCAGGGACGCACAACATCTACACAGAGAACTAACACAGCTCTAAGAGCAGGAAATGGGATCCAGAACAAGCAGAGGCAGAGAGGAGGAAGGGCTTCCCAAAGAACAAACAGGAGTGGGGACAGGCTGAGGAACACAAAGGGCAAATGTGTATCCATCTCCTCCGGAAATACAGAAATACAAGAGAAGTTAGAGCAGCTAACTTCCACTCCTGACCATGTATTTTCTACTCCCTAGGATCTCTTCTGTCCTCCATTTTTCTGCTTCCTCTTCCGTGTTTCGCTACAGCTGCCTACACCTTGCAACCATCGGTGTGGCTCCAGCTCTCCCCCTAGCCCAGAACAGCCACCAAGTCACTTAAGGAACCTCATCCCCAAGCATCATTCAACCCAAAACAAGGGCCTTCTCAGAAGAATCAGAAGCAGTATCTACTTCCTGCTGCTTTACCTCCTTCTTCACAACAAACCTGTCCCTCCCGCCCCCTCCATGCATCTTCTCCCCTTTCTACCACTTTTCACTTTATGCCATTTTCTGTTGTTTCAGCACTATCTACCCAAAGACTCACCTTGCTGTACTTTGTCACGTGAAAGCCTCAGAATAAGATCAAGACCGCTAAGCACACACAAATGAATTTTTTAAGCATCAGTTTACAGTATAAGCCCGCTGGGCTTATAATCCCCAAACCCTTGACTCCCCACAAACAACAGAATAAAAGACAGAAGAATGGGAGATGACAGAACATCCCATAGAGTATAGGCGAGCAGCCAGCCATCTGCACAAAGTATTTCCTTACATCAAGGACCTGGTTATAAAGTACTTTTTTTGACTTTTCCCTTTTTTCTTATAAGTCGTAAAATGAGAAATTTTGAAAACAGTGCAAAAAGAGAAAATTCCTAATCACAATAGTGATTTAAACAGTGAAACATCAGAGGACCTTAGCTCCTCTATTTTGGTAAGAAAGATCTAGAAAGAGAAAACTAGACCACCAAATATTAGAGAATGAGGTGACTTATTTTTAAAACTCTGGAAATTTTGAAGTCTTTGCAGCTCACCTAATTTTAAAATTGCATAGAAATCTCCATTAAAAACATTCAACAAAATTTTGCTCAGTAAAACATACATTATATTCATCACCAAGAACTCTTAAGATGCAAATAAGGAAGAAAGAGAGTAAGAATTAGCTCCAGTCTCTTATTTAAGATCTAGAAGCAAAGAACTTTACTTACATAATGAGGGGGCTTGTGTATCTAAAAACCTTAGTAGAACATTCTGGAAAACAGGCATACTAGATCCAGCAAGAGAGGCTGAAGAAATTGACTCCTTCTCATCTAATACCTCTGACTCACCACATCTCTAAGATTAAAAATAAACAAGCACAGTTAATTACAGAGGGCAATGTAGCCACAATGGATCATGAATTTGTTAGTTTTTTATTAACATTTAAATTGTCAGAAAAAAAAAACATGCAAAATTAGTTGAGATTTCTGTACTTATTTGAGAGCTATACGTCATAGGTAAATATAATTTCTCAAAGTTAGGGGAAACTACCCCAGAACAATTCAAATGATTTCCAAGGACACCCATGGAAAACATTATTCATGTAAATTATAAACTCTCCACGTTATAACTATCCACCGAATATATACCATAGTACAATAAACCACTCATTATCCCTATGCAAAATTGCAAAAAATAACTCAAAGTTGTCTTCATTTTTAAATAGCTCATGCTCAACTGTATACACTTCCCCTGAGAAACTTCTGGGCATGTTATTATGGAGTTCGATGCTTTTGTGTTTGTTCTTGCTAGGTGAGTGTATTTACAAGTATGTGCAGGGGGGTGTTGGGAAGTGTGATGTCAAATGAGAAAGTGAGCATAATTCCTCTGATAAGATTCTTTCACTCATCATACTTCACCAGTTAGGATCTCTTAGAACCTGTGGAATCTCCATAGTTGATGAAACATAGATCTAGAGAAGTTGCATTCAAGACAGAATTTACTAGAAGACCAGAAAAGAAACAGTTCAAAAGCAATCAGAACCGTTTTCTATTTTTTCATATCCCTTTGACCATCCCATTTTCATTGTCTATTCTTTAAAATTAATATATTATTACATTAAGATATTACTTCCCTAATCCATCCTCTCTTCACGAAGGTCAAATTTTGAAAATGGTGATGGTTCAGTAACAATCAATTATCTTAAACACCCTGAGAGAATACATTTTTTAGATGTGGACACATTTACACCTATTAAAATTACAAAGTCATCTGTGTGAGCCTCCTCCAAAAGTGACTGTGTGTGTTCCTAGAACACACTGGAAGAAGGGATGCCTGTGTGACACAACAACTCAGAAGGGAGCAATTAAATTTGAGAAATTTACTAAAGTTTACTCATTGCAATTCACAGATCTATCTATTCATAGAAAAAAAAGCAATGAAACACCTTTCCTAAACTGCACATTGTAAAATGGGTCATGTGTTTCATACCTTACTTAATTAACCCAGTATCTTCAAGCCCCAAGTCGAACAATGTGATCCTTTTTATTTGGTGAATAGTACTCTCCCAACAGGAGGAGAGAGATGTCTATAGATATGTTCTTCCTGTTTCATTTTTTAAGAGCTTCGCAGGAAAGAGTATTATCAGTAAGAGAGAACCAGCTAAGTTCTCATCCATTCATACAACATTTTCTGAGCGTCAACTATGCACTGAACACTATTCTGGGTGCCAGAGACACAACATTGAACAGGGCAGGCAAGATCCCTGTTGTCAAGCTTACATTCTAGAGGGTGGTAGGCAGGCATTAAACAATAAGCCAACAAGGAGAGGAAAACAGAGCGCTGTGAGAAAGAGCGCCTGAAGGGTGGGTGACGCAGGATCTTCCTGAGGAGGTGACACATGTTGAGCTAGGAATGCTAGGAAGCCACATTTCCTAAACTAGGAATGGCAGAAAGAAACTGGCCATGTGAAGACTGGGGAGCAGTGTGCCACCCAATAGGAAGAGCAAGACCAAGGTCCCAAGGCAGAAGCTGGATTGCGGTGCTGGAGGTACAGGAGGGCCAAGGCAGCTGCAGCTGTGACCCAGGGGAAAAATATTGAGACAAGGAGGGAAAGGCAGTCCAGGGAGGCCCATACAAGGCTCTGTGGACACAGTAAGGAGCCATCAGGAGTCTGCATAAGGGGACAACATGATCTGCTTCCAGTTTGAAAAGATGGTGGTCGCTGCTGTGAGGAGCAAGGAGCAGAGAGGAGGGTGCCCTGCAGCGGTCTGGGTGGGGCAGAGAGAGGGTGGGCCGCTCACACCACACACAGTCTTTCTTACGGCCAGCCCTCCAGATCTCACGGACAGATAAGGGGACTGGCTGAAAAACTTTATCTTCAACAAAAGCTAAAGTTTATCAAGTTAGCTTTGTTTTTTGGTTTTTTTTTTTTCCTTCATAATCCACTTCCGAGGCTTTAAATGCTCTCTCTGGGGCCAAAATACAATCTCAGAACTAATACAAATTGGTATCTGTAATCTCAAAATCAGAACTGCCTCAAGAAAATATTCCCAGGGGCTCCTGGGTGGCTCAGTCGTTAAGCGTCTGCCTTCAGCTCGGGTCATGATCCCAGGGTCCTGGGATCAAGCCCCACATCGGGCTCCCTGCTCCGCGGGAAGCCTGCTTCTCCCTCTCCCACTCCCCGTGCTTGTGTTCCCTCTGTCGCTGTGTCTCTCTCTGTCAAATAAATAAATAAAATCTTTAAAAAAAAAAAAAATATTTCCAGATCCACTAAAGTATTATGTAGATTTAAAATTCAAATAGTTGGTGTATACTATATACATTTCCGTGTGTGTATGTGTGTGATGTGTGTGTATATATATATATATATGTGTGTGTATAATATAAAACATATATATGTGCATATGTATCTCAACCTCATATAGGGAGAGGTCTTTGTTCTAAACCAGATGTTAGGGGCGCCTGGGGGGCTCAGTCAGTTAAACGTCAGCCTTCAGCTCAGGTCATGAATCCGGGGTGCTGGGATTGAGCCCCGCATCGGGCTCCCTGCTCAGCAGGGAGTCTGCTTCTCCCTCTCCCTCTGTCGCTCCCCCTGCTTGTGCTTGTGCTCATTCTCTCTCTGTTAAATAAAGAAAATCTTTTAAACAAACAAACAAATAAATAACTCAGATGTTGAAGTTTTATTTTAAAAGATACAATTCTAAATAGTCCAGAATATAAATTATTGGCTTCATCAACTGAAAGGGATCCTATATGTAGTCCTTATGTGAATTTGTACATTCTCCCTTTTTTCCTTGAGGAGAGAGAAAAAAAATAGCATAATGAGTAAGAAAAAAGAATCCTCTCCAAAACAGTTATTTTTAAATGATGGCGTTCCAATGGCAGAAAGAAAACTGAACCTACCTCTGCCTCGATTTCCGCCTGCCTCTTCTCCAGGAGCTTTGCCACAGCTATGGCCCTGTGCTTGCCCGACCGTTTGCAGCTCACTGCCCACTCACACAGCAGTGTCACCACGGCTTCATCATTGGGGGCAACCTACAGTCAAGAGAAAGGGGGACCAGCCACGTCAAGTGAAGCACTCACCCAATGACAGGAAGCAAGCGATGGAATTTTTAACGCTTTTAAAGCTTTCTTTAATTAAGCTTTCTTATAGTCATTTTAGAAAATGTTCCCAAATCCTTTTTAACTGAAGTATAAAGAGCAATACTTTAGTGACAAGGAAGGAAATCACTAGAACAGCTCAGTCTGTGACAGTTTCAAGGGAATTAACAGTCTCCTTGCATATGCCTTTCATTTACACAGAATTATCACCCAGCCCCACTGATCCTCCAGAACTCAACACCAAAAGCCAAGAGAAAGGGAAACTGAGCACTGAATATCCAGAAGAGCTGTTCCCAACCCCAAGCACTCACTCCACTGTTGGCCCCCTCACACTCAGAGCCTCACTCACTACCCAATCCAAACATGCCAGCTCAGCAAGCCACCCACTCCAACAAGGAACTGAAGGGAACTGGAGGGGAGGCTGGAATGCTGGCCAAAGACTCACTGCATTAGAAACAACAAACATGAAAAATGACAACCAAGCATCAGAAAGAAACTAATTATTAAAAGCAGACACAGTTAGCAGAGGGCAGTATATCCTGGGTCTACGTGGGGCTCAGCACTGTCCCTGGAACTATGCGCTGTGGTTGCCATGGCCTAGAAATGGGCCCCACAGACTGAGGATCAGAGGGGTCAAAGAAAGGTCACAGGAACCCAAGTGACATGAATTAGGGACAGGCAGGCGGAGTTAAGAGACAAGAGGAATCATCCTTTTATGTAACCTCATCTTTCCTTTTAGAGGATGCAAGCCAACCAATGTAATATCAATTGCCAGTTTTTAGTATTTGTCCAGTTGTATAAACACTATGCCAGAAGAACTGGATAATTACAGTATTGGTACAATACTGGCATTTACGTGAGAAGTCCCTTAACGTTTTAGAATCCATATGTTCGATTGAGATTATAATAGCCGTAAACACACTCCCAGGAAAATTATGCAGACATACACACATAAATCTAGCACAAATTTTCAGAAGGTTCATGGACTCTGAGAAAACACCCAAGAATCCCAAGGTAAGAATCCCTAATCAGCTTGTAGATACTAGCAAACAATTTAGATCATGAAAATCAGTTTGTTCCAAGATTCTTAGTCATCCTACCCTAAACCTGGTTAAACACATGTTGACTCAAAGAAATGTTACTTAGGGGAGATCTCAAAATGTTACTTAGGGAGATCTCTGGGTCTCTTAATTTAAAAGAAATAATTCAATTAAAATATATAAAGATTATGTTTAACACTTAAAAAAGAAAGCAGACTGGAAGGAATGTTTGCCTGGATTCCATCTAATCCAGAGAAAAGTCAAAATATAAGTCAATTCAGTGAAGCACCACATGCTTAGATTTAGATTATAGACAACAAAAGGAGTTACCCTAAAAATACTACCATCACTTTTTAATAAATTCATGCACAGTCAGTAATGTGCATCATATCCACATTTATAAAGTTTTTTTTTATTTTCTTCGGCATCATTAAGATGAAAATAGGCTACAAAAGAATAAATGACTCACTCACTCAACTTAAGTAAATAGGTTCTGCCTGACTTAAAAGATGCATAGAATAGCACATACAAGGGAAAACACTTCTTCTTAACACATCCAGATAAGACCACGAGTTTGGGGTAATGTGCTAGAAAATAAGCCCTTCCTAGGAAGCAGTCAATTCACTTCCAAGAGCACTTATTAAGTACCCATGTTAGGCACTGAGGAAACAAAAATTTAAAAGACCTGGCCCCTGTGCTCCGAAAGTTCACCTTCTAGAAAGAAAAGCAGAAAAGACAACTAATCATAAAGTTACAAAACGTGGGGTGCCTGGCTGGCTCAGTTGGAGGAGCATGCAACTCTTGATCCTGGGGTCCTAAGTTCAAGCCCCATGTTGGGTGTAGAGATTACTTAAATAAATAAATAAAATAAACAAACAAAAAAAACTTTAAAAAAAAAAAAAAGCTACAAGACGTTTTGACAACATCGAAGAGGAAGTAACTAAGTCCGGCTATCTGCACCTTCCATATGTCAGTTCCAGCTTACAAACATCTGAGATCTTAACTTGAAGACAGGAGGGCCTGCAGTCGGCCTGCTACAGCTGTGGTCTCAATTTGTAATTATTAGGAAATAAGTGAATTACGAAAATCCAAGGAAAATGCTGAAAAATTATGTTTTTAAAATATAAAATTTATTACAGAAATTTTCTTATATCAGTTATATGACCATAATCTATTTTCAACCAATAAATATTTTCCAATACTGGCCAGATTCAAACAGTGCAAAGTCCACTCCTTTTGGAATATCAGATGGACTGCCAAATAATGCCAGTCCTTCCTTAGGATACTGGAGTGGTGGGGATGGAGGAATACATAGGTTCTGTGCCTATTTTAAAAGAAACAGTAAGAGACTACAAAAGATGTTTTACTACTTAGAAAATCATGTTGGAAAATCAGGGCACATGATACCAACTTGAAAGCAAACTATCCCTGAAATATGAATAATTACATTTATGTATTTGGGTCAAAATGTATTTCATTAGTTCTTTATTACTGAAAAATTATCTATTAGTTATAAAATACCTTTATAATTTCAGCATATTTTTCAAGATAATTTTTCAGTGAAAACTCCCCCTCCAACTTCCTACTAATTACTACAAAGTTTTGATTCACATTTTAAGCTATTTTTACCAAGAGGCCTCTTCTAGCTTCCACTACCAAAAACGAGGATATCCTGCTTTTTTCACTCTAAGCACCAGTTCCAGGGTATATCCAATTAGACATGTTCAATGTGCATACAAAGAGACACCCATGGCTCACACTCCCCGTAGGCAGATCCTTGCACCCCTCCCCCACTAAATAACTTCGAGGCAAAAATTCGAGGAAATTTAGGAGTTCAAGATATACACTACAGTCCCTGTCCTTCAGCAAGATGGCAACTAAGTGGGAGAGACATACATGTGTACAAATAATTTGGAAATGGAAATGAATGAAAAGGAAAATGGGAAATGAAAATTATCTCAGAAAGTCAACATTTAACAGGAGTCGAAAGAGAAAACGGAAGGAAAACTACTAGATGCTTCCTTTTAGAAAGTGGCTTTTGGGAAAAATCTTGAAGAATGAGTTAAATTTCGAGAGAGATGAACAAGAGAAGAAAGAGTACGTGGTGGGAGACAGAGTAACACCCCCCAACCCCAAAGATGTCCACACACTAAAGCCAGGACATGTGAGGACATTACCTTAAAGGACAAAAGGGACGTTGTGGCTGTGATTAAGTTCAGGATGTCAGGGGGGGAATTATCCCGGATTACTGGGTGGAACCAGCGTAATCACAGGGGTGGTTGTGAGGCAGAGATGTGACAGGGGCAGCAAGAGCCGGTGAGAGAGAGACTGGAAGATGATGTGCTGGGGACTGTGGAGATGGAGCCAGGGAACACAAGCTAAGGAGTGCAGGGGGCTTCTAGAAGCTGGGAAATACAAGGAAACGGTCTCCCCTAGAGGCCCCCCTAAGAATGCAGCCCAAATGATACCTTGATTAGAGCCCAGTAAGATCATAACCTCCAAAACTGCAAGAGAAAAAATTTGTGCTGCTTTAAGCCACTACATTTCTGGTAACTTGCTATGGCAGCAATAGGAAATTACTTCAAAGAAGTTCTAAACAAGCAAATAAAAAGTGGCACAGAGGGGCACCTGGGTGGCTCAGTCAGTTAAGCGTCTGCCTTCAGCTCTGGTCGTGATCCCGGGGTCCTGGGATCGAGTCCTGTGTCAGGCTCCCCGCTCGGTGGGGAGTCTGGTCTCCCTTTCCCTCTGTCTCCTCCCTCCTTGCTCATGTTCTCTCTCAAAGAAATAAAATCTTTAAAATGTTTTTTTATATCATTTGTTCCAATAATTCAATCTCTGAAAATACAACCCAAGGAAATTAAAGTAAGAAGATAGGAGTGCCCGAGTCATCAGTGAAGCATGATACTAAAACGCTCCCCCCCTTTCTAGCCCCAGGAACTGACAGATTTCCCCTGAAATTTGAAGGAGGCTCATAAGGGATCAAATCAGAGAAAACAGGGTGAACTCACACGGACAGAAAGTCCTTATGGATGGTTCACAGGCAAGAGCATTTGTCTTCAGCAATGAACTATGGACATTTGTGTGGTGTTTTATTTTTATTTCTATTTTTCTGCAGACAAATGGTGATATTTCAGTATCTAATTAAAGATGTATAAGTAAGGGAGGCAGACTGGAAAGGCCTGCCACTGAACAAAGGAAAGGGGAAGTCCAAGACACGTGATTACCAGTAAGGCTCAAATCCCCTCCGACAGCATTCTCCCCTCTCAGACAAGGGCAGCTCCCCGCCGGCCCACCATTCCTCCCTTCTTCCAGAAGCAGCACTCCTACTTCTTCTAGGGATACTGCTCCTCCTCCTGCTCCAGAGGATTCACAGAGGGGTACCCCATTCCTCTCAGGTTTAGTGCTGCATTCTGGACTGGGGTCTTCGATAGGCAGTGAAGACTTTGGACAATTCTTTGGTCACAAGAAAAAAAAAATCTATCAGGTACTCATCAGGCATGCTGCTCTGTGCTCAATCTTATAAAATATTTGGGCTACTGAGAGACTAGTCCTGACAAGATGAAACTGCCTCTATTCCGATCAAAAATATTCTTCAGAATAGGTTTTCTGCAATACGTATTGCTTATTCTAGTCATTACTAAAATCTTAGCATTTATTAACTGACAAAAGCAGACACAACAAAAATTAAAAGCTGAAAGTTCCTGACCTTAAATGTAAATCTTTTCAGTCATTTTTTTAAGATTTATTTGAGAGCACAAGCAAGAATGTATGTGTGTAAGCGGGGGGAGGGGCAGAGGGAGAGAGAGAATCCCAAGCGGACTCTGCGCTGAGTGCAGAGACCCACATGGGACTTGATCTCACGACCCTGAGATGATGACGTGAGCCAAAACTGAG